AAAGCTGTACAATTAAATAATAAATTAGCAAGCCATAAATTGTATCTCCTGGAAAATACTAGAAAAGCAATATCTCCTTGTGATCAGGGGTTGCCTTGCATCTGCAGGTCTATTCAGAACTCAGCCCTGTTGTGTTGAAATAAGCTTGCTGTTCAGAAACAGGAATCTCTGGGAGCTGTAGGTAACTCACTGTCCATAAAAATAATGAGCCAATTATAAATTACAAAAATGTGAAGTATAAAAAACATATAAAACTGTTCCCTTACCTTAAATTCCTTGTCAGTGTGCCTTTTCCCCTCCTTTTTCAAAGGCGGCCCTTGCCATGACTAAAAACAAACTGAAATAAATAGATCCTCTGTTATTTATTCACAGATATCTAAAAAGACCCTCTGTTTACTTCCATTTAAGTTCACACTTTCTGGGCTTCCATCCCCACACCATTCAGCCCCCCTTTTATTTGAAACATGGACTCACTTTGTAGCCCAGGGTGGCCTCAAACCTGTGACCCCCTTATCTCAACTTTCCAAATGCTGGGATTACAGATATTTGCTAACACACTCAAAGAAAAATGGCTTTTTGTGTTTTTGTTTTTGTTTTTGTGCTGCGGATTGAACTTGGGGCCTAGTGCATGCTAGAAAGGTACTCTACATCTCCAGCCTGGTAGACTCAGGGCCTCCACCTTGATCCACTCAACCAGTGCCTACCCACCACCAACTTTTTTGTGAAGGGTTTCTTTTGAGATAAGGTCTCAAGGAACTCTTTGCCCAGGCTGGCTTCAAACTGCCATCCTCCTGATCTCTGCCTCCTGAGTAGCTAGGATTACAGGTGTGAGCCACCAGCATCCGGCCTGGACTTCTTTTAATAAAAGAACTAAATTAGACCATAAGGCCAGAAATGATTAATCCATTTTCTGATCAGAGAATTTAGTCTGCTCTAATTGTAGCTTTAATCCAAGGTGCACTGACAGGTCTCTCATTATTTTCCTTCAGGTTGAAAATTATAGGCTCCATACATGGAAGGGCATGCCAAGTGTACTGCCACCTCTGGCCACCCAAGGAGGATTCTAGGAAAATAACCTTGGTTTTTGTTTTGGGGTTTTTTTTTGTCTGAAAAATAATTACAAATACCTTTTGTTGCATCCCTTATTCTTGCCATGTTATTGGTTGTTCTAGGTTTTTTCCTTTCTTGTTTTCTTACTCTTCTTAAGTTTGTGTATGCATGTGTGTGTGTATATTTATAGGTTGTATGTATTTATATATACAGGTATATATGCATATGAATACATGTACAGAAAAGAAGCCTGCTCGTTAAAGTATGGTAGCAAAAATAGCATGCATTCCTAGAAAGAAAATTTTTAAAAAGTAAAAGAATAGTTAAAAAATGCTCAACCTTTCTGTTGTATTTCTTTAAAATGCCTCAGTACTTGGTAAGATACTTTAGGCACTTTTAAGTAACGCTGGGGTTAGAACCCAGGTCCTTGCACATGCTAGCAACACTCTCCCACACACCCACCTCCCCAGCCTTGCTTAATGTATTGAAAGTTGGCTTTAATTTAAATATTTTGTCTCTTTTATAATATTAGTCAATTTAAAACTAATTCATGAGTCCCTGGGTTTTTTTTTCACTTTCTTGCTAGAATCTGTGCTGTGAGGATGCAGGGAATGCATGGTTTTGCCTGCAGGGTGCTTTGAGAAAGCTGCAGTCATCTGGAGTGCGACTCTGTAGCTAATACATAGAAGCATTTATTGTCTGCCAGGAACTGGACCAGTTGCTGTTCTTTAACACTTCAGTTCTTTATAGTACTAATTTGATAATTTAGTCCTTAGTAATACTTTGGAGGTTACTGTTTTCTGCATTCTAAACTGAAGAAGATGAGCCTTAGAGAAGACTTCTGAAAGTCTCTAAGATTCAGCTGCAGAGCTCACTGCTGGCCCAGGCCTGCCCACCTGTGCTCCTTAACAACCTGTGACCTCTGTGGCTGTCTGATGGCCTCTGCCCCTGTACTTTGGTCAAGGCACTGAAGTTTCATAATTCCTCTGAATTCCACTAGATTGGTTGTTGCTACTGAAAAGCTTGTAGGTCTGACTGCAGGAGTGACAGTGACCTGAGACATCGTGCCTGGCAGGGATAACTTCCAGCTCTATGGCATTACCTTATGCCATGTTTGGTCCTTTGTCTGCCTTTAGAATTTTAACTCTTGTGAAAATACCAAATGTGCCATGCTTGCCTTGTTGAAATTTACATTAAGAAGGTGTGGTAGTAGGGTTTTTCATTGCTGCCTTTTTAAATTAAATTTAGTGAACTTAACAAGCACCTATTCTGTGCTTGTATCAAACTGCACAGCTAGCATCACCAAACCATCCTTTGGAACTTGGTTCCCATCTTTTGACGTCTTTACCTCAGTTTAGAAATCTGTTGACCTTCTCTTTTTCCCACACTCTCTCACTACTATTTATGATGAAACTTAAAATTACAGTTGAATTGTAAGGACCTGTTAGATAAATACTTGCTCTGAAACTCAGGACTTAGCTGTGATTTGCTGATCAGAAATTGTTCAGATTTTTACTTTTGGACATTATTTGCTTTGAATTGGGCATTTATCTTGTAGTTAGATCCATCCTGTGCTCAAGGTTTGTGCTGATTTAAGGAAAATCTTCACTCCATACAAGGAAAACTCATGAAGGAACTTGAGGTTCCACATGCTTATCCTGTTATTGTCTCTCAGGGGGCAAAAGACATAGGAACCTGAAATAAGAACACAATGGACCACCAGCATCCAAACTTTTCTAGTTACAATAACTAATGTATCCTTTTGAGTGGCTCAGAAGTCCAGTTGTCCTAGACTCTAATCTGGGCCAGAAATCACAGGTGATAGAGTTGGGGCAGGGCCAGGATGAGCAAGTTAGACAAATACCTTTGTCTGAGGACCAGCAGGGCAGGGGAGTCGCAGCATCTGGGCTCCTCCTGGTGCCCTGTTATGAAGATGGGGACAAAAAAGGGACTGTTCTCCAGCTTCCCATGAAACTCCCCTGTATCCTAGGAAATAAGAGGAACAGAGTAACCTGAAACTTTTCCTGTGGCCTTCCCAGTGCTGTGTGTGCACTGCCATGCCCGACTTCAGTATTCTTTCCAAAAGGATGTATTTATACATTTATAGTGTATTTGCACTTTATTTGTACTATAGAACTGATATAGAATATATACATATATATATAGAGAGAGAGAGAGAGAGAGATAATGTTTTGTCTCCACTTCAAGTCTGGATTTTGAAGGAGTATCGAGGTTGCTTAGGTACATAACTGATCGCACATCTTACTGAATTCTTGAATGATTTGTATAATAATTGTCACTTATCTAGAAAAGAAGTAAAACTAAAACAATGACGCAGCATGACAGGCAAGCGGAGTAACGGCTGTGACTGGGAAAAGGAACTTCAGCCTGAACTTTTAGGCCTATCTATAAAATGGTGGTAGTGCACTGGAGAAGTCTCTTGAATAGACATGAAGTGTACCTAAAAGTTTAAAAAATTATTAAATTTACATAATTGTAAAATACTATGTGGCCTATAGATAAGATTGCATAGCTGAGGTAAACTTATTTCTTCATTTTATTTTTCAGAGCATGAAAGCATAAAGTTTCTATTGGACACTTGGTCATTTATTCCAAAAAAAAAAGAAAAAAAAGAAAAGAAAAATTGCTCAGAACCAACCCAGTCTTGTTTAATTGGCTTGGTTCATGTGTAGGCACATTTAACACTATGTTTTCTGTATTTGTGTGTGCAAGAATGTGTGTGTGTGTGTGTGTGTGTCTCACTGGGGTTTGAACTTCACCTCATGCTTCCTGGTCAGATACTTTACTACTTGAGCCACACCCCCAGCCCTTTTTGCTTCTGTTATTTTTTGGATAGAGTCTCTCTTTTCGCCTGGGGCCAGTCTGGACCATAATCCTCCTTATCACCTCCCATGAAGTTGGATTCATCTCCACACCCAGTTTATTTATTGAGATAGGGTCTCACTAACTTTTTGCCCAGGCTGCCCCTAACTGCAGTTTTCCAGATCTCCACCTCCCAAGTAGCTGGAATTACAGTAGTGCACCACCACACCTAGCCTCAGGGCTTACATATGCCTCCCAGGTAACTGGGATTACAAGCATACACCATCATACCCAACTTGCTTTGTTGAGATGGAGTCATGCTAACTTTTGCCTGGGCTGGCCTTGGAGTGAGATCTTCCCATTCTCCACCTCACAAGTAGCTGGGATTAAAGACATGAGCTATTGTGCTCCAGACTGCTGTCCCTAATTTTGTTTTGTTTTTTATTTATTTCACAATAGATGCTATCTGTGCTACTGGTATGTTTTTTGGTTATGCTTACAATATAATACTTTTTTACTATTTATTGCCAGGCATGGTGGTACACACCTGTAATCCCAGCACTGGGGAGGCTGAGGCAGGAGGATTGGGAGTTCAAGGCCAGCCTGTGCTAGCTACATAGCAAGACTCTGTCTCAAAAAAATTTTTTTTAATATTTATGACTGACAAAATTTATCATTTTTATTTGAAATGTGTTTATAGTATTTTTAACTTTTACTTAACAAATGTGTTCACTAGTCAGTTCATGATAAATTATCTTTGTGATTTTTTACTTGGCTTTTTTTTTTTAACAGTTGCCTATTTAGTGATTTCCGAAAAGAGCTCTATGAATTAGAACCAAATAAAATTTGTTATTATAAGTACATAAGTAAATGTTAGATGATTCTCTTATAAATTACTGTTTTTGATTTTTCCTTTTCCTAAAAGCATAAAATTCAACCCAACTTTGGGGAGTTTTGTCTCATTTTCTTCTGGTGCTGGGAAAGGAATCCAGGTCCTTGCATGTGCTCAGCACTTACTCTGCCCTGAGCTACATCCCTAGCCAACCTTGAGGGATTTTTAATTTTTTTTGTTTTGGGGAGGGGATTCATTTTTAGTTATTACTAAAGTGTATTTTTTTAATTTGCAGCTGGTTTTAGAAGAAGTTTCCGCCTTAGCAGAAAAGATAAAAAAACAAACAAGTCCATGTATGAGTGTAAGAAGAGTGACCAATATGACACGGCAGATGTGCCCACATATGAAGAGGTGACCCCCTACCGGCGACAGACCAATGAGAAATACAGACTGGTTGTCTTGGTTGGTGAGTGCTCGTTTTGTACATGAGTCTGAGGAAATAAGTGAAACAGGAAGGATTTAACTTCAAAGTGCATTTTAGTTGAAGCTTTCAAGGCAAAATTCATCTTGTCTTGAATTCTCTTTGCTTAGCCTCCAAAATGACATCTTCAGTCACTTAGACATTCATCTCCTTCAGAGACCAAAGTTGGCTCTGAAGAATGGCTGTGGCAGGTTGGGGCTACCTTTGCTGGAGAGGGGACAGCAGGCACGCTGCGGCTCACGGAATGTGTAAGGGTGCCTGGGTAATAGAAATGAGTATTTGTGAATGCAGTGCAAGTTTTTTTTTCTAGCTCATTTTGATGCAATAGCTGTGGTATACGCTTTTTATGACATAGACTAAGCTAGCAAGTCAGTTCACAAACTACTTTAAATCAGTTAATAAGCACATGTGGGTGTTCCCACAAACGTGGGTTGCTTGGACTCAGAGTCACATTCTACAGTCTGTCTTGTCCAACCATTATGAACTCAGTCAGTCACAACCTGTGTTGCTCTACCCTAACTTGGCTATGTTTCTTTAAAAATGTAAGAGGTACATCACCAGCCAGGACCAAACCCTATGATTTTAGCAAGGTTTGAAATAAAGGACTATGATGTCGCTTGTCAGTTCTTCCTTAATAAACTCATGGTGACAGCTACGGGGATGAAAGTAAATGGAAAGCTAAGAAATGACCCCAAGTAAGACCTGTGAGGCCATTACAGCACGTCTATTCAAGCAGATGAAGGGGTCGTCGTGGAAGGTGATTTTGTTTCTCACATCTGATGGCACCAAAGTGACCGTTAGTCTCATCCAATAGGAATACAGTTTGCATTGTTTAGAAATATGTGTTCACATACTTCAAAGGAAATTCAAAGTTTCCTTTCTTAGCAGTGCACCAAACCCTCCCAAGCCACACCCAGCAATGTTTCCATAGGTGTGGTGTTTATGTAGAGCCTCCAGTCCTGCTTCAGGACTGTGTGAGAGGCTCACACAGAGCCTGGTGGGCATGAGCAAATCCTTGGGTCCCTCACTGAAGCTACTTGAGACTTCTGCTTGTCTACCCCATGGTCTCTACTCTGCATCCTCCCTGTCAGCACCAGTCTCAGCAGTGTCTCTTCCAATCCTGTGGCCTGTACTCAGCCCATAATAAGAAGGCAACAACGGCATGACATTGTGATCTCTTGTGTTCTCTTACTTCCAGGGAACTGAGGGTGCTGCCACATGTGTACAAGGCATAATCATGAAAGACTGTCACCCTGTATTTTATGCAGGAGCCAGCCTCCTTAGGACTGGGGAGTGGAACCCTAGCTTCCACATTTCCTAGTCACAGTTTCATAGGTTCCTTGGAGCAGAAGCATATCACAGCACCATCCCAGCTTTAGAAGTAAAACTGTGCTCCCAGAACTATACACCAAACATTGCATTGTCAGCTAGAGATCACGGTGACCTGAGGTTTGTTGGCTTCTGCTCCATCCAGTGCTGGTTGTCTAGATCTATAGTCATTGAACTAAAACTCCTGGCTCAAAGCTTGAGCAAACTGATTAATTCAATTATATGCAATTTGGTTGCCCCATTTCCTCTTTACCCTTCAGTCTCTGGGTTTCTGGTACCTGAGTTTGAACTGAATATGAGAGGTGCCCCACCACTCTAGCAGACACGACCCTTCCTTCTTCTCCCTGTGTTTTTGCTTTCCGAGCAGGATGTTAAAAGGTTTTTTTATTTCTTTAAACCTGTGACATCAACTCCCTTCTAGTAACTGTTCTTTCCCTGTCCCTTGCTCACATGCCTTCATTTTCTGATCCTCGATTCTCAGAGGATCTGTCCTCTGAGAACAGGAGGTTGACCTCTAAATACTCCTAGAGATGCCCAGTGGTGCAGCCAGTGACTGCTCATGTTGCATGTGTGCCTGGCCCCACTCGTGTTTCCTCGGTCTGTGGAGCTTTCTGGGCCTTCAGTAAATAGTTAATTGAATTACTTCAATAACACCCAAAATCTTGCATTTGACTACATTTTTCTACTTCACAGGTTTCTCTGATGCTAAATTCTGACTGTAATGTTTCTCCATCCCCTGCTGCTCCTCATTCCTTTCTAAGAGTTGCACCTCAGATTTTAAGTTTCCATTTATTTTTCAGGTGGCATGCAATAACAATAGATGAAAGTTGTATGTATACTTTTGTGTCAGTCCTCATCATGACTGCATGGCAAACACTTTTATATATTCATTTCACAGGTGGAGAAACTACAGAACAGAGAGAAATAACTTGACCAGTATCCCACAGTCAATAAGCTGTGGATCTGAGTCAGTCCCAAGCAGCTGGAGACCTCTGTCCCATCTCACCATGGAATATGGCTTCCCATCTACTAAATCAAGGCCATGCTAACCTTCTGTCGTAGATTTAAATATCTTACTTTTCTTTGCTTTGCTTTTTCCTGACAAATACCACCTTCTCATTTTGTGCAAGTTTTAGATTGGCACTTACCAAAAGCATCCCTCATGTACCTAAATCCTGCCCTGAGTCATATATCTCCACGTAACCCCCAGGTCAGTTTAGCTAGCTTGCTGGACTCTCCTCTCTCTTCTCCTTCGAGTTCATTCTGTACACTGTCCAGGCATGGCCTTCATTGTCCATATAATTACTGTTTTGCTCTCCCTTTCTTTAAAATTCACCAGCCAACTGAAGTATTCTAGGTTGGTTTTCATGGTCTTTCCCTCTCAAATCTGTTCACTTTTTCTGCATGTGTCTTGGAGTAATTTTCCCAGACACCAGGGAAGGTTCTTTGATTGGTGAAATTATTTATTCTGTCATCAGGGTGCAGAAACTGCCTCTTCTAAATTTCTGGTAGCCACAGATAGAGGCAGTCTTAGAGAATACACAGGGAGAGGAGCTCCAATCCTTCCCACCCCAGGCCAGGGCTTCTCATGCTTGAACATGCACTCCAGTCACCTGGGAAACTTGTGAACTTGCAGTTCCCAGGTTTCTGAGACAGTCCATGTTACTAGCAAGTTTCCAGAAATACTGGTGGTGCTGGCCCCATTGATTACAATGTCCATTTTGTCAGAATGGAGTGCAGCAAACACTGTGTCACTCTGTCTCTGTGGGCTCAGTGGCCACTTCCTGCACTGGTTGGCGATTGTGAACCACCTGAGAATGATCTTGGCTTCCTCCTCTTGGCATCACACTTCAGTTTCTTGCCTTTGTGTTATAATGATGGTTAAAAACTGGGTTTTGTCCAAATTCACTGTTTAGCATTTGTCAGTGACATTTTGGGTTTGATTTGTCTGTTTTGGTCAACAGATTTGTTAGGATTTTTAGCCTTTATTATGAAAGTCCTACAGGAAAAATAACTTTAATTTGAAACTTTTTTGGCCCTAACTCTCTATTTCACCATTTGGGAGCAATTGCTGGTACAACACTGTTTTCCTTAAGTTACTAATGATTACATTATAACTAAGCACATTTAGTAAGGAATATGAATCTTATTCTTTTTGCCATATCAGATTATATATAGATTTCTACACAAGGGAATAAAATATATCATGTGTCTAAGAGTAGAAAAGGAAAATGTCATTCACATGTTAACAAAAACTTCTAGTACTGTTTCAACTTAAGGAAGGATTTGTAAACCTGCCAAAATCAGAATGCCTGTACAGGTTGAGGCTTGGAAAACTCAGTTCCTGGTGTCACTTACTGAACATTAGCATCTGACCTTTCATTCCTTGTTGCTCTATGGCCTTCTGTGCAGAATGACATTCCCCAGTGGAATCTGTTGATAACCTTATGTACCTATCCTCCAGAAGCATTTCCGGTTATCCATTCTTCTATGTAGTCATTGCTACATATAGAAACTTTTCTGTTTCTATAAATGGCACCTTTGATGAGTCAGAGGTTGTGACTTTGTTGCCTGGAGAAATCCCCATGTCACATGCTTGGGTACTGCAAGTTACTGTAGAAGGTAAGAAACCAGCCACTGGGCCATTCAGGCAGTGCTCCAGTTCTGTTCTGCACTTCCTGTGACATCTGCATCATCCATATTCTCTCTGGGCCTTTAGCTGTTTCATCTAGAAAATGAAAATAATATGAACTTTTTAGGTTTGTTTTGAGGATTACACAGAATAATCTTTGCAAAGACTTAGACCAATTCCTGGCATCTAGTAAGATTTTCATAAAAGATTCTCAAAAAAAGAAGTCCTCATAAGCGGGCACTGGTGACTAGTGCCTGTAATCCTAGCCACTTAAGAGGAGGATATTAGGAGAATCGCAGTTCAAAGCCAGCCCAGCCCAGAAAAACAGTTCACAAGACCCTATCTTGAAAATACTCAAAACAATAAAACAAACAAACAAAAAAACCAGGGTTGACATTGTGGCTTAAGTGGTGGAGCACCTGTCTAAAATAAGTGTGAGACCCTGAGTTCAAACCCCAGTACTGCCACAAAAAAAAAAAAGGTCCTCATATTTTATCTAAAAATACTGGTAAGATAAACATAAAATGTTCAAATATGACTAAGAGCCTGCTGATTTTGAGCCTAAGTGTTTAGAACACTTACTTAGCAATTTATCATCTGAAAGAAGTAGTCATACACATTTTACAAATTCTAGATTGCTTCTGAGTTAACTGTTTACTATTCATGATTGTGAAACATATATATACTTAGGAAACATTTCCTTGGCTCCTACAATGTGTGTAGAAGGATAGAAACACTGTAAGCATTGTGGCCCTCCCCCAGCCTAATCATCTTTACCCAGGCTTGTCAAAGCCATTGGCAGTAACGATACTGGCCTTGAAACTGTTAGGTAAATGTGGTGGGGGAAATACAGAGTATTATTTTCTCTATTATTTCCATGATACCACATAATTTTTATTCTTGGATCTAACATTCAAGAAAAAGGATAGACCAAGTTGTTACCATAACAACAACAAAAAAATAGCAACAGAGGACTTTGAGCTTTGATCAAAAATATTTAATTTTTCTTTCATTTTGTGAATGT